ACCTCCCTGAGGGGGACGCACCAGGCCCTTTGGCCACATCAGGTCGGGAGACCACAACTTATGCCACCAGGCCCTTTGGCCACATCAGGTCGGGAGACCACAACTTATGCTGTTCCACCAGCACAGATCACAGCCCTCTTGGAGGAGTATAACGATCTGTTCCCTGACGAACTCCCTGAGGGATTACCTCCAGACAGAGGAGTGTCATTAACTATCCCATTGGAGGAAGGAACCAAACCGGTCAAGCGACCAGCTTTCCGGTACAGCCCGAAGGAAATGGAGGAGATCCGATCACAGGTGGATTACCTGTTGAGGAAAGGTCTGATTACGGAAAGCAGTAGTCCCTTTGGGGCCCCTGTACTTTTCGTTCCTAAGCCAGATGGCAGCCTCCGAATGTGTATTGATTACCGGGCATTGAACAAAGCCACTATCAAGAATAAGTGGCCGATCCCGAGAATAGATACCCTATTGGATCAACTGCAAGGAGCCAAGGTGTTCTCGGCTATTGACTTGCAGCAGGGATACTACCAATTACGGATCGATAAAGCAGATTGTGCCAAAACAGCGTTTGTTACGCCATTGGGCTTGTACGAGTTCAAAGTACTTCCCTTTGGACTTGCGAATGCCCCTGCGATATTCCAGCAGACGATGCACCATATATTTGGTGATCAACTTGGCAAACACGTCCTAGTTTACTTGGACGATATCTTGGTGTTTAGCCGAACTGCTGAAGAACACATACAACACCTTCGGCAGGTGTTAGAAGTGTTACGACAGCAAAAGTTATACTGTCGAATGCACAAATGCCAGTTCAATAAGGAGGAGATCTCCTACCTGGGACACATCGTGTCTCAAGAAGGAATTCGCCAAGATCCCGAAGGGATTGAAAAGGTGAAGAACTGGCCTGTACCTCAGTGCGTGAAGCACGTACAGCAGTTCCTCGGACTGGCAAATTACTTTCGAAAGTTCATTCAGGGCTATTCGAAAATGGCGACTCCCTTGACAGACTTGACCAAACAGAATGGCAAGTGGGAGTGGGCGTCGAAATGTCAGTCAACATTTGAGCACATCAAGGAGTGTTTGACCACGGCTCCTTTGCTCAAAATGCCAGATCCTGAGAGACCATTTGAGGTCATCGCCGATGCCTCACAAACTGCTGTGGGGGCGGTCCTGATGCAGGACAATCACCCTATTTGTTATGCGAGTCGAAAGTTCCTCCCAGCGGAGTTGAACTACAGCGTGACAGACCAGGAAGCTTTAGCTTCGGTCCATGCTGTCCAGTTGTGGAGATGTTACCTTGAAGGAACATGCTTCAAACTGGTAACGGACCACTGTCCGTTGACCTACCTTAAGTCACAACCACAACTGAGCCGCAGACAGGCCAGGTGGTCAGAAATCTTACAACAGTTTGACTTTGACTGGGAATACCGCCCAGGGCGAAAGAATGTGGCTGATCCACTCTCTCGCATTCCTCCATCGCCCGATGAGCAGGAGGCTAAGAGGAAAAGTCAACTAGTTGTATGTGGCTTAAGAGTAAAACATAAGCGGGGCAGCCAAAAAGAGGCAACTGAAACGGTAGAGGCCAAAGATCTAGCCTCCAGGATCCGTCAGGCCTATGGCGAGGATCCCCAGCTTGCGTCTGTTAGACAGCAGCAAGATATGCGCTGTACAGACGGGTTGTGGCTGCGAGGCACTCAGGTGTATATCCCTGAGTCTCCCAGTCTGCGGACTGAGATCTGCCAGTTGGCTCATGACCATCCAAGTGCTGGGCACTTTGGTCAAGCTAAGACCCTGGACTTGGTCCAGCGGCATTACTGGTGGCCAGGAATGCGACGAGAAGTACACCAGTACGTCGATACTTGCCTGGTTTGTCAACAGGCTAAGTACCCTCGTCATAAGACCCCAGGCTTATTACAGCCACTGGGCATTCCTGAGGAGCCATGGACAGAGTTGTCCATGGACTTCATTACACAACTGCCAAAAACTAAGGGAGGTCATGATGCTATCGTCGTGTTCGTCGATAGACTGACCAAAATGGTCCGCCTCGCAGCTACGACCACCGAGCTCTCCGCAGAAGGAGCAGCTGACCTGTTGGTGCAGAATGTGATAAGGCACCACGGCCTCCCCTCTCAGATAGTGTCCGACAGAGACGTTCGGTTCACTTCCAGGTTTTACCGGTACCTGGCCGAGAGGTGGAAGATCCAGCTCAACATGAGCACTGCGTACCATCCACAAACGGATGGCCAGACCGAAGTCATGAATCGGGTTCTGGAGGATTACTTACGCAGTTATACGCGTTCTGACCATGACGCGTGGGATGAACTGTTAGCCATGGCCGAGTTTGCAATGAACAACTCGAAAAACAGTTCCACCCAAGAAACCCCGTTCTATCTGAATTACGGGAGGCACCCAAAGAGTCCCTTAGCTCTTGGTGTGCAAATTCGGAAGCCTTTAAAGGGCTATGACAATCCGAATACCCGCGGCTTGGCAGTGGCTATTGAAAGGGCACAGCAGCCTTATTTGAGGCAGTCTGGTACACCCCTCGTGGAGGGATTACCAGCAGTGACACGATTTGATCACCGTGTCCAATCAGCGCTGAAAGAGGCCAGGGCGTGCTTAGAGAAAGCACGAGATAGGCAGTCAAAGCATGCTGACCGCCATCGAAGAGAGGTGTCGTTTAGTAAAGGAGATGACGTCCTCCTTTCGACACAGCATATTACTCTCAAACACCCTGGGACTCGAAAACTATTACCGAGGTGGATTGGGCCCTTCACCATCCTCGACCGGATAGGTTCTGTCGCATATCGACTAGAACTCCCGGAAAGCATGCATAGGATACATCCAGTATTTCATGTATCGAAGATTAAGCCTTATAAGGCAAGTGGCAGAGTACAGCCACCCCCAGTACCTATCGAGATCGAAGGTGAACTGGAGTATGAAGTTGAACGTATCCTTGACAAAAGGATTAAAAAGCGTGGGAGACGCAAAAACTATGTTGAGTACCTTGTCAAATGGCTGGGATATGGACATGAGCATAACAGCTGGGAATCAGCAAAGTCAGTTGCAAATGCACAGGAATTGGTTCAAGCATTTGAAAATGGCAGAACACCTGTGATGCGAATGCAAACTGCATGAAGTGCGGGATGTACATACTGAAACATGCTCATGTGTGCTTATACTTTTGACAGGTTCTCTTGCGCTGGGCCCAGAAAAACACTGGGTATACTGCCCCCCGTGCGAGGACACAGTTCGCCCACATGAACGCCATGTCAGTGAACATCCTCAACGGGGAGAGGTTGGACACCGCCGACCCCTACGTGCCATTTCCCCGTGCGCCTGAGCGTGCACGCGGACGTGGGCGACGGCGGGGTGCCGCACCGGGCCGATCTGGACCGGCGTGGGCTTTTGGTGGTACTCGGCATCGTGGTCGCCGATGAAAGGCCGGGAGGTCAAACATTTCCAGCCACTTGGCTGAGGAAGAGTTTTAATGAGGGTTGTAAAGGCCGGGACGGTCATGTAAAACAACCACTCTTTCTCTTCATCCAAAATTGTTTTGTGTGTTGTGTTTTGTTAACTGGGCATGTGGCAAATCGCACAGCCAGTTCCACCAACATACATACAATGTTTCTGCTCCCGTATTCACTTATATTGGGACGAGGACGCCCCTCTCCCTGAGGGGGACGAATGTTACGCGCACCAGCCTGATGTGGGAGACGTCCTACTAATGGCCCTTGGTGTGGGGGACGCCCTGCCCAAGGCACGTACTATTCCTCACCCAATGTAACCTTTATCCATATTAGGATACGGGAGTAGGAGGGGTGGTCCCGCCTAGGTGCCCTGTAAGGACCTAGGTGCCCGGCGAGGTGGGTCCGCGGCTCAAAGAGGGCAGGAACCCCACACCCACATCCTATACGTAACAGAGTGACATGTGTTCAAGATAGCATTGCGGATTGAATACTGAACCAATTGACTTCAAAATTTGGGAGCAGAAACTAGACTCAAATTAAGACATTGTGGCCAATGTTGGGTGAATGTGAGATGATTTGGCGGGGTTTACAGGCCCATGGCTCGCAACTGCAATTCAATTTGGGACGGAGGAAATATACGATAAATACACAATATGACACGACTTTTGCATGATTTCAATTGTATTACACAATACACGATTTGGAAACCGTTTACTCTGGTCTGTTTTTAATAGTGGTACCAACGGCGTCACGCAAACGGAAACAAAACAAGCAACATGGACTTTGCTCTGCTCGGTCAAGACAGGGAACTCATGTTCACTTGTAGGCCTTAGTGCACCAATTTCCTTGGGAAGTTGGCAATTGACTTAGGAATTTAGGATTTTAGGATTTCAGGAGCTTAGGAATGTAGGAGATTAGGAACTAGGGAGTTTTAAGAGTTACTTTAGTACATTCCACAACAAAAATTTACTATCATACTCTTCAAAAGTTCCCTCCGCATTCTTCTTTTATTAGCATTAGTTTTTAATCTGCTACGCAAGATTTCATGAAATTTTCTCTGCAAAAAAAAGGCCAAGCGTTACGCTACTGTGCGGAAGGGTTGAATGCTTCACGGTATTCAGCTAGTTTTAGTATTAGGAGTTATTAGGAGTTTAGGAATTTAGCCCATCAAACCACCGAGTGCCAAGCTACCACCATACCTTGGCATGCATATCGCACCACCCCAAACCAGAGCCCAAGCCCACCACCAGTCCCCTGCCCTGCTGCCCGCGCCCGGCCCCCCACAAGCGCAGCCACCCCTTCCCCTCTCCCGCCCGCCCCCCCACCCCCCCAAGCTTCGATCCATCTGCCTCTCCCCGACGCCCATTCCCTCCCCCTTTCGCACACCCGCCGTCGAGGCCTCGGGAGGGCGAGCGGGCCCGCAGGATTTGGCGAAGCTCCCGGCGGCCAAAATAGTGATCGAGGCGAAGGCATCGACGGAGGCACCAGCTCGGGGAAAGGCCGGCGCGGGAGGGCGAAAGCCCCACGATCGCCATGGCGGCCCCCAGCCGTCGACGCGAGATGGACGTTATGAAACTGTGAGTGCCCGTGGGCAAGATTTGTTACAAAGAGAGGGAAACAGGTCATGCAAAAGTGCGCCGCATCCTGAGCAAGCGCGTGCCAGACTCCTTTCCGTGCTGTGCACAATGATGTGGAGCCTCCGATGACATGGGCCCTCCGTGCGTGTCTGTCGGGAGGAATCGTTGCAAGACGGGATAACGAGGCGCAGTCCAGGTTTTCCTCCTCCCTATGGGGAGATTTAGGGGGGGGCCCGAGACACACCAAGGCGGATGCAAAGGAGAGAACGCCAAGTGTCAGTGTAGCATGTCCAGTGTCAGAGAGCGGAGTGTGCCGGCGGGGGGGGGGAGGGTCGCAGGATGGAACGACGAGGTGGAAAAATCGCGCTGCCCCCTGCCCTTCAGCAGGTTTACTTGGAGCCCCGTGAAACAACGAGGCGGATACGAAGTAGAGAACATCAAGTGTCAACGCGCATGCCCATTGTCAGAAAGCGCTGCCCACACCGGAGGCGGGGGGGATAATTTGTGCCAGTGGGGAAAGGGGAGAAATGTTGTGGGATCGGGGGTGGGGCTATGGATTGGCTTCGAGGGAGGGTGGTCAGCGGGGGGGTGCCTGACAGCGGCCGCTGCGCAGGATGATGAGCGATTGGAAGGTGGAGATGGTGGAGGACAATGTGAGCGAGTTCTACGTGGAGTTCAAGGGGCCCGGGGAGAGTGAGTGGCGCCCGGCGCAACGCTGTCTTCGATGCCCTTCTCTTGCCGGGCTGGAAAGTTCGGCGGGTGATCGCAACTGACGGTTTGACCTCCGCCTCCCGCCCCCGGGGTGGTGTCTGTCCCTCTCGGCGCCAAGCCTTTGCTGATTGGCGCACAGTTTGGGCATGCCGTCGGAGGTGCGCTGTGGTCGCGCTGTGCGCCGGCATCGGAATTAAAATCCGAAAAAACCTGCCGAGATTGTTCGCGCTGAAGGACGCTTGCTCCGCTGCCAAGCCCACCCCCGTTCTGTGCCTCCGTTGCCCCTAGGTCCCTAAATAGGGTCCATGTACGGTGTGGGGGTGGGGATTTTGCCAATTGTTATTAGGTCACTGTAGACCGCTGGCAGAGGGACGCTGTTTGACCATCTGAGTCCAGCAGAGGCGCGTGGCGTGACCAGTGTATCGATTTTCACGTTGCCTGTAAGGATCCTCATGCGTTCATCCTCCCAGGTCCCTACGAGGGAGGGTGCTGGAAGGTCCACGTCGAGCTGCCGGAGGCGTACCCGTACAAGTCGCCCTCCATTGGCTTCGTGAACAAGATTTACCACCCGAATGTTGATGAGATGTGAGTTGCACTCCCTGGGAACGGCTTGGGCGTTCCAGGTCTTTGGGCTGGCTGTGGATCCCAACCCAGGCGCCAGTGTTTTGGATCGTCTCTGCAGTTGGAATGGGTTGCATGATTCTTAGACAGGATGCTTTGATGCGTAGCTCCTCCCTTCACTTGGTGAAGCAGCAGCAGCAGCAGCAGCAACAACATGCCTGCAGCGTGTGCATGAGCGTGTGTTGCAGCGATCCACAGCATCCTCTCACTGTGTGCACCCCATGGTGCTGATGGCCCTTTCCTTGGTGGCTCTACCACAGGGCTGGTTCCGTGTGCCTGGACGTCATCAACCAAACGTGGAGTCCAATGTTTGGTAAGCTCCTCTTCCCCCCTCCCCTCCTGTCTCTACCCTGATCTTCTCTTCTTTTGTTCTCTCTTCCTGCAATGCCGGACAGACTCCAACATTTGCTGTGCCCTTCTCTGTCCACTTTCTGTCTCCTGCAGTAGCCCTGTTCTCACCCAGTGTGTTCCCTGCCTCTGGGGTGCCATCTCCCCCCCTGTAGATCTGGTGAACGTCTTCGAGGTGTTCCTGCCCCAACTGTTGCTCTATCCCAACCCCACGGACCCTCTCAACGGGGAGGCTGCAGCGCTGCTCATGCGAGAGCCGGACGCATACTCCAAGAAAGTACGGGGTGAGTGGCCAGCCAAGCCATCCGACTTGATCAGTTGGATGGTTGCTGCACAGCTGTGCCATCGATGCACCTAGATCTGCTTCCTTGTTATGCGTCAAGTTAGTGAAACGAGCTCCTGTCAACAACTGATGTGTATCGATTGTTGGGAACATGCATTTCAGTATAATGTTGCCATCTCAAGCAGCACCCTCATTCGATGGGGCATGCCACAGGGGTGCACTTTCCGCCCAGGCCATGGGCAGGTGTGTGCATGGGGTGCAGCTGTTTGTTTTTCACATCCTCTTGAGTGCATTGGGTCGAAAATACATGACACCATACCCCTGTGTCTTCAGTGCGTGGCGTTTGCCGGACTGATGTCAGTGCCTGGGATGATGGCACCCTTGTCCATCTGGAAGCTGTGTTCCCGCTTGGCAGAGGGGGAAGATCAATGGATGTTCCCCAGTTGCTAGTGGGAGGCAAATGATTGAAAGTGTCAACTGCAGCGATGCACATAACAAACTGCTGGCCACAGCATGTGCATCTGCTGAGCTCAGATCAGTGGATAGTTGAGCAATGGATAACGAAGCAGCAGTCTGGACGCCAGTCCCATATTCTGTAAATATACGAGGGAAGATAATTCACTTTGCAGAGCTTTGGAAGAGCTGCCATTGGCACACGGGTTGTCTGTAGTGTGAGATGCTGGATTATAAGTTGTTGAATTGATGAGCGAACGGCTGCATTGTTTGCAGCAACGTGAAATTGGCTCTGGTTGTCGCACATGCCTTTCCTGAGTTCAAATCAGACAGTATCAGTTTTCTAGGTCCACAAGGTTCAGCAGAAGGAAGCTGAGATTTGACAGCTGTGGCTTGTGCCGATGACTGCCATCATCCTTGTGTGTGTTGCTTCTTATTGCTCAATATCCACTCGAGTATTGTTAGGAATTAGAAACTGCCACTCCATAGCACTTTCTTTTGCATTTCCCACCAAACTTTACCTATGAATGGTCCACCCTTCGTGGTCCATTGAGTTGGCAGCTTGCCAGTGTCGACAGAACGTTTTCACTGGCGATAGTGTGTGTGAATAGCCAATTTCTATCTGGTGGCATAGTCAGAACGTACCCAGGCATGTATAGAGTCTAGATTGCGGCCAGGGCATGCCAAGGGAGAAAAATGATCGCACCGTTTTGCAAACCAGCTCCTTTCTCCCGGATATGGGCGATATGACACAAGATGTTGCAGGACGGCCATAGCCAAACGATCCAAAGGTCTGTTGCCTTCTTCTGCTTTGACTGGAGCAAGTGTGCCAACTGATTTCCGGTCTGTTGGGTTATCATTTGATTTCATACCCAACACAATGTGGAGGCAGTGGATTGTGGTGGGGCTGAGGCTGGTGAACTGTGGTGGTCTACTGCCAACAAACTGCTGTTGAGTTTGGGAGACAGTGGGGGGGCGTGCTGTCATCGTGGCCTGCTCCCAAGGTCGAGATCCAAGCATTCCTGGCCCGTAAACACCACGCATTGCAGATGCCAAAAGAATCACAGCCACCTTGCATCGTGCCGGCAGTGGCTATCAATGTGTTCCTGGAGCTGAAAGTTTTCCTGAATCGTTACTGAGGTGCCTTGGCAATGTAGATATGTTCCCTTCTTATTTTCCAATGTATGCAACGCAATGTGCAGAAGTATAGAAGGCATGTGCCACTGATGAGGGCTTTTCCTCGAAAGGAGATCAGGAGCACGGTGATCCTGTTGATGACAGACTGCTTGTTGCTGAAAGGCAAATGCCGCTGTAGTCATGTCCACAGCACAAGTTCCACACGGCCAACAAGCAGATTGTGGGCAAGTGAACGGCAGCTATGTGTGCTGTGCTTCCTTTCACAGTGTTGTGATTCATGGGTGCAAACGAGGAAGCAGATGTGAACGATGTGTGTTGCGCTGCTTTTCAGAGTACGTGCAGAGGTTTGCCCGGCCGGAGGACTGCAATGTCAAGCCCTCCAACAAGGCGGACAGTGCTGACGAGCGGATGACAGGGTCAGATGGGGGCTTCCTGACAGACTCCGAGGATGAGGAGGCTGGGCATAGGGGGGAGGCCACCTGTACACAATGACGCCACTGTGCACGGCAGTGACGGGTCAGCTGGCCAGCAGTGCATGGGGACGTTGGGAGGACCAGTACTTTCTGCATTGGAAAGGGATCCCCGTCGTCTCGATTGGCAACGAGTGTGCGGGCAGTAGCGCACGTGGAAGGTTGAGGGGCATCCTAGTTTCCTTGGTGGGCAACGAGGCCCCGTTGTCCCGCCTATCAGCAACGAGTTGCAGGTAAATAGAGAGAAAGAAGGAGACGGGGTGGGGTGGGGTGGCTATGATTTGCTAGTGAAAATGGCATGTGGGGATGTTTTCTTGCTCTGGCAGGAATACCAGTTGCTCCACTTGCGGTCTGAAATTGATGATCTGCGGTTCAACGGGCTTGTGTGCTGCCGACAATGTTGGAAGCGAGTCCGCAGGGAGAGCAGCTCTTGGTCGTAAGGGGAGGAGGCCCCCTCAAGAAAAGCACTCAAATCATTCCGCGCATGGGATGGGTTGAGTATTCGGCGTCCCATTTATTCCATTTGTGAGCAGAACCTGAGCATCCGTGTTCGGGCGAGGTTGAGACAGGTGCTGGTGTGACTTTGGCTTTGTACGATTAGCGCGGGGCGTGGGCGGGGCACATGCGAATCGTTGCATGTGGCCTCCTGAAGCCCTGGTCCGCCTTTTTCTTGCGCAGGCTGTATCTGTATCCTTTTGTAACACAAAGCAAGGAAACTGGAGAGACTCCAGAATGGACCTGTCTTTTGTAAGGCAGTGTTGTCGTTCATGCGCAAACACTTCGATGCACATGCATACCTAGGCGCAGGTATGGGGGTCGTCTATTTTGACGCATGCATGCGCGTAAATGTGTGCCAATGTGCGCCGTCAGCAGACGGCGCTGGGACTCGTGCCCATCAGGAATCTGGTGAACGGCACCCGGGTGTGCCTGAGTGGATAGTGAAGAAAGTCGCAGACTTCAAGAATGTGGGAAGACGGAAAAACACTCTTTGATGGTGGTGCCTCGGCCATTGCGACGAAAAGGTGGCCGCAGAGCCGTTGTGGTGAAGGAAGCGTCGTGGTGATGCCTGTGCCTGTGCCTGTGCCTGTGCCTGTGCCTGTGAATACATATCTGTACATGCATATGGACAAAGGTTGGTTGTGCAAATGTCTGTGAAGTGCTTAGCATGGTTGCGCTGGTTCAAAACTGTACACACGGGCGCCAGTCAGATGCAAGTGCGGCCCTTCACACATTGTTTGTGTGCATCTGCGCGTTGGTGCATCCAATGAGTCCGAAAGCACCCCAGAACGAAGTACTCCTTACCAAATCGACTGTCCAATGGCTGGCAGTCCAACTGACAGAGCCAGCTCTTCGTCACTAAAGCCACCCCCAGATGAGAACATGCTAATCCCTCTGTCTTGCGTGAAGGTCCCTGTCCTTTTGCTGACAAGACCTGCGCCGGTCAGTTGGTCTGGTATTTAGGGATTAGGGTTTGGGGAACAAGAAGGACTCTTCACGGAAAAGACAGAGCGACTAATTGGGTGCCCACGCAGAGACGCCGCCCCCAAGATACGGCAAGATACCAGCAAGATATTTGCCCGCGGCACAAACCCGGATCACGCCCAAAACTTTGCCGGCGGGCGAAAAAATCTTCCGCCCACGATCTTATCCTTGGCCACGATCCCACCCAGCGCCCCCCACATCACACCCACAACTCCCCGAGTCGTCGCGCTCAATCGACACCCACCTCTCCGTGGCCTCTGCCGGCGGCCCCGCCACCCCGCCAACCCCTTCCCCTGCCTCCCTACTCCCTGGCCCCACAGACCCGAGTCACCCCCTCGATCACTGCCCAAAGATCTTTCCTTTTCGTTCGTCATCCCCATCCGATCGATGCCGGCTACCATGGACGCCAGGGCGATACCGCTGGGCGCCGGTGCGCCGGTGAGGGCCCAGAGGGCACCGCAGGGGTCGGAGGCAGCGCGGGAAGCGCCCAGAGCGGGCGGGATGCGAAAGCAGCGGCGGGCGGCATCGCTGAGGTGCGGCTGTCCGTGAACGTGAATGCGTCCTTGAAAGACAGACCACTAATACAAGTGACTTTCCCAGCGTGGCACCACAACTTGGTAACGCCACGCGTCGCCTGGCACACCACTTCGTACATTGTTCGTTTCCTAAAGGCCCATGGCCTTGTCCGTTCTCCGTGCTGTTGTGCGTGGCATTGCCTAGTTGTGGCCTGTGGTACCAAGCTGGGAGATGCAACCATTGCAATGGGTTTGTTTGTCTTTTGTCGAAGCTACGGGGCGGGGTGGCGCTGCCTGAAATTGCATGGCTGTGGGCCCCAGCTAGGAGAGGCAAGCCTTGCAATCGGCGTTGCAATAGGTTTGTTTTTCTGTCAAGGTGGGGCGTGGTGCAACATTGTCTGAAATTGCATCGTTGTCGTACCGGGCTGGGAGAGGAATGCCTTGCGATAAGCCTTCCAATAGGTTTGTCTTTCTGTTGAAGGTGCGGCTCGGTGTGACAGCACCTTGTTGTGGTACCAAGCTAGGGGATGCAAGCCTTGTAGCAAGCCTTGCAATACGTTTTTTGCGCTGTTGAGGTATGCCGTGGCGTGGCGTTGCTTCGTTGTGGCACCAAGCTAGGAGATGCGAGCCTTGAGACGGGTTTGTGTTTGTCATTTGTGCTAAAGATGCGGCGTCGCCGGCGTGGCACAGTTTGCGGAGACGGTGGCAGAGGCCACGGAACCGGGAGAGGTGGGGAACGATTGTCTGTTGCTGCTTGCTATTGTTACTTGTTGTTACGATTGTTGTTTCAAGACAATGCGGGTCATGCAAGGGCACCACCTCCTGGGCGAATGTGAGTGAGGCTGTGTTTTGTGTTGTGGAAGGATGGGTAAACTGTGCAAATGCGAGGTAAACAGGAAAGCAACAATAATGGGATGGAGGGATGGGATTGAAGTAATTAGGGAATGCGTTCACAGCAGTAAGCAGCCAATCTGATGCAAGATTGGCCTCCCCAAGCGTGTTGTCACAACTGTGTAAGGTCAGGGAGGGTGGGCGGCCAGGGTGATCTCATCCCCGATTGTTGTGCGCTTCAATATGATGCTGTTTAAGATGGCAAGCACAAACTCACACTGTGCAATACCCACCATACTACCCTTAGAAATAGGCTGCATAGGTGCTGCTGGGGAGGAGTAAGGGAATTGTTGAGCCAGGGACCAGCACCACAAGATGAGCGATTGGAGGACAAAGGGCAACAAATTTAAATCGTGTTGCACTGGCATCCGCAAGACAAAGCGAAGATCTCGCACCTTGCAGGCGATGATGGGCATACACACATCCAAAGCTTTTCAAACATATAAAGCTATCCAAGGTCCCATCAAATCTTGTGCTACACATGCTTTTCTAGCACAGCTGTTGAACCGGTATTTGGCTCCGCGAATCTTGTGGCGGCTGACTCTGGGGGATCAGCCAGCTTGCCAGAATCTAGCTCTGGTAAGTGCGGACACGATCTTCTCCATTCATTTTTGCGGACACGATCTTCTCCATTCACTGTTTGGGGATGTGCGAGTTGACTGCAGAAGCACTGTAGATAGAAGCGTGACTTGTTGTTGGCAGGTGCCAATGGCACCATGGCTCGGTTGGTGCCATGGGTGGGTGGCAAAGCCAGTCAAAACCCACTGCAGGTCCAAGAACAGCGCTTGTTCCAGCCCCCATCGAAGATGACGCTCCTCTTGTTTCCTGTCTGGTTTGGTTTTCATGTCTGGTAGGCGGCACTGTGTGCACCTTCCTCTATTTCAAAGACTTCCTTCACATTTGAGAGTTTGTGTGCTGTCCACATTTAACAGTGGAGATGTGGCCCTGTTGAAGCCTAGCGAGGATGTGTGGGCCTTTTGCACATTGGCTTCCTTCTTCTGCATTCATGCGGATTGGCCTTCGAGTGCCATGTTCCAAAGACTGCTCTGCTGCAGCTGTTTGAGAGATTTTTGCAGTTGTGTTTAGGAAATGTGTTTAAGGAATTTCTCTTGGTGTGGCTTGCTACCAGGTGCCTCATATGTACGAAACTGTGGGAGATGTAATGACAACCACGGTGATTTCAGTTACCAGAAATACCCCTGTGACTGAAGGTGAGAATTGTGTTGATTGAAATTCCCATTTGATTACCTATTCAGGATTACTTAATAATTGTTTTGTATACTGTATTATTTGCTGATTGTCTTCCATTGTGCCTCATCAAACCTCCACAGCAACAGGCCTGGATTGCAGTAATCCTGTCCCCAAGTCCCAGTTTTGCTGCTCCTTGCAGTAACTGCAGTTATGAGGACTGGCTGGCTGACCTGCAATCCATCAAAGATTTGGTCATGGTATCGATGCACCCACTCCTCTGCTGCTAGCAACATGGCTTTGCGGCAAATCGGAGTCGATGCAGGGTGTGCACTCTGCTCTGTAAAGCAAGAATTGATTCAGACTTGTGGCCTTCATCTGTTGTCCATGCAGCATTGGACCTCATCGCGAAGCACAGGATAACAGGCATGCCTGTTGTGGATGCTGACAATGTGGTGGTAGGTAGTCGTCACAAAGAAAGTTGTTTTTGTTGCCTCAACTGAAAGTAACTAATGCTATGTCAATTACTAAGAGGGCAGGGAACACGACCAGCATTGGAAAGAGGTTGCTGGTTTGCTCCTGTGGTCGTGTTTTCTTTTGGTTCCATGTTTTGTTGCTGTCCATCGCTTGTTTTATAAGTGGTTTGCTTGATTTCGTGATCAAAATTATTCATTGTGCGATTGCCGCAAAACTGTCAGAGTGGATGAATATGTTCTTGTGGGCAATGTGAGACATCACATTGGTCATGGCACATGTCCGTACCAAACGGGACAGCATGGAGAATCATTTAGCGGCCATGTGGGTGTAGCAAAACTCCAGACCAGAATAGGGATGAACAATCGGTGCCTTATTTATATCCTTGCGATTAGTAATCAATGCCAGACTGACACAATTCCAACTCATATATACTTGCATTCGCACAAATTTCACCTGCACAAGCGCAAATTTACTTGCACAAACATGGCGATCAGCAGTGCCAACATCAGCAGGAATCTGTCACACACAACTGTGCCACCAGCTCACCTTACACACGTTGGAGCGATGCTAGCGATGCCCTCCTGTTGTGCCAATGGGCCTCTTTCCTGGTCTGCATAAGCTGCTTTGCCACGGCTGGGCCCCCTGTCTTGGGCAGCGTTGGGTTGCCTGCTGTACATTGTCTGCGCAAAATTGCAATCCTGGATGGCAAACATCGCCCAGATACTCGCCGGGGAGCTTTCAAGCACAGCATAGTGCCAGTGGTAATCGTCAATCCACAGCTGCCTGCTTTACTGCGCCCCGCTGCCTGTCACCCTCGCGTGCAATGCTGAGCGTGTGCATAGGTGGGACTAAATCTGCATCGAGGACATTCATGCGCATTCAGCAGGTCACCTGTCACTGCGCCTGCACCGCTATCATCATTTTTGAGCACTGTGCACACAATTTGTAATTTGTTTGGTGCAAATGTGTCACATCACAATTTTTGTCGTGTGTTTTCGTATCCAAAGTCTTGTTTTACATTTGAGAGTCCAGGTGCCGCCCCTGTCCAAACACAAGAATTGTGGGCTTGAGGTGATTTGAAGCCCAAGAGACTATATCGATTGTGTGCTGTCATGAATGCTCAGGCTCAAAAGACAAGAACCTAGATAAGGCCTGGACAAAAACCACTCCTGAGAGGAGGGGGGCCTGGGCTCTCAGAATTAGCAGCATGTCATTGTGTTCGGTCGCTGTTGTGTTGTAATCTTCCTTAATCGTTTCATCGTTCTAATAGTCGGAATCGAGAGAATCGATGGCGGGCATCGTCCACAGCAACATAAAACATCCAATGAACAGAATCACAAGTACCCCAAAAGTATCCAACAAAATACAACATCAAACAGGATGCCTTGCATCTGAAGGTGATTGTTCCCAAGACCTTCTTGCCTTGGCGCAGGTTGGAGTAGTGTCAGACTACGACCTGTTGGCATTGGATCTGCCCTCAGAGAACCAAGGGATGTTTCCTTCACTGGACATGTCATGGCAGGTGTGCAGTTGTGTGGCCTGCCATAACCAGTGTGCATCCATTCCAAGCGACCACACACAAGTAGTAGCTGGTGCACCACGCGCAAACTCCTACACAACTGTAGCACACTGCTATTGCTAATATTACGATGCTGCACGCGATGTGGGTATTTCTCATTTGTTCAATCTTCTTTGCTTCTTGTCTCCATTCTCCTTGTTGCTCAGACAGGCAAATCTGGGCCAATACTTCAGGGACTGTTTTGCTGGTGTTTGAATATATTAACCCTTTGCTTTATTGATAGGTGAAACAATATCTTGTTGTATTCAATGAGATAGTACAACCCTCTTTTGTGCAATTTTTTTTGTTGCAAAGTGACAGTACACAGCCCTTGCACCCACAAAGCAACGTTAGGCATATTGCTGGACACACAGTCCTAGGATGCGATCTCCACAGTTGCCAGAGTCCAAAATGTGAATGTACAGACTCATGTGAAACGCGAGATACGTGAGATACTCGACTCATGTGATACATGATACATGTGATCAACAGCTAAAACCTACCAAGGCACATTCCTGCGATGCTAACCCTCTCTCTTGTGCCTTGGCTTCGCTGATAGACATTCCGAGAGATTCAGACTTTGTTGAGCAAGATCGAGGGACAGATGTGAGTACCATGGTGCATGCAGGCGCCAGCGACATGACAGCCCAGCAGTTGCACTGCTGTCTGCCCATCTTATTGACCTCCGTTTTCGCATGATACTCTTCTTCTCATATTAAGGGGATTGACATCTCCCTTCAGCTGAAAATTGTTCCGTGCACGGCTCCCATCTTGACACCAATTGCCACCTTTGCATTGGTGCATTCTCGCAAGAGCGTGGTGTCAAATTGAAGCTCCGTTTTGGCTCACACTTGTTTGCTGTGCTTGTGGACAATGAGAAAAATTTCTTGACTCACCCGCGTGTCATCTTGTTGCCAAAGAGTTGAGGACGTCATGACTAAGGACCCCATGTCCGTGCGGCCCAACACAAGCCTGGATATGGCTGCCAGGTAAACGCAATTTGCCATGCACTATCTTCGTTGGGCACAGTTTTTTTTGTTAATGTATTTTTCAATGTGTTTTTTATATTATATTTTTTGTTGTATTTTTTCGCTTGTTTCCAATGCTGGCAGTCACTGCCTCTGTCTCGTCCATTGCTGATGTCCCGCAATGCAAAAGCAGGCATTAGTTTTGTTGTTTTGAATCGGATTGCATGCAACTCGAGCATCGAAATTGGGACGCCTCGAACACGTCCTAATGTTTGGTGCGAGAGAGCTGTGGAATGGGTGGCTTATGGATGTGCGACGCGGCACTGCAGGATTCTGCTGGAGTCGAAGATCAGGAGGCTGCCAGTGGTGGACAGGGATGGCAAGCTGATAGGCCTGCTGTCTCGCAGGAACATCGTTGTGGCCGCCCTCGCAGAGCGAAAGAGGAACGCAGCGGTCGCCTTCGGTGGCGCGGTGGGGCGCTTGGCATAGGGGCGAGGCCGCATCTCCGATTGGTTGGGAGACCCTGGGCTGAAACCTAACTAGTGGGTTGAAAGCTAGGCTTGCATGCCCCCAAAGTCTTGGAAAGCATCCGGCTGGATGATTCACAAGTGTGCTGGGGGGGGTTGGTGCGATCACTGGCCATCTACATTGGTGGGGATTGGGGCCCATGTGGTGAATGAATGTCACGCAGTGGGGGTGGGCGGGTGGGGCCAACTTCTGGCAGGGGGGTCTGCGTTGTCACTCTGCCCCCGTTTTGGGGCCGGTGTGCCAAGTTGTTGGGGCAGAACTAACGAGATGGGTGTGGGGCGGCCCCGGAGGAGCAATGGCTTGAAACTGCGAAATTCGTCTGGGACAGCGTGGAAGGTTGTCGGGGCAAAACTGATGAGATGGATGCGGGGTGGCGTGGGATGCGCAACGGGTCGAAGCTGCGAAGTTCGTCTGTGGTGGTGTGCACACGCACTCAATAGCGGGTTACCTTTGCCTTCCCCTGGCTCCTGTGGAGTCACGTGCCTCGAAACGAATGACGCAAACAGGTCGCAAGGGCGCCATGGAATTTTTCGGCGCTGTGGTGAGGCCAGATGAAGACAATTGAATGTTTGCCTCTTCGTTGAGAAGACGGTGCGCAACTAACTGTTTAATGTTGCTTTGCGTTTGTCCGGCCTTGCCTGGCTTTTCGGATTTGGCAGTCTGAAGTTCACTGACGGCGTGGAGTGCATTGGGAAAACGTTTCGGTGGTGCCGCATGCCCGAAAGGAAGTTCCCAAGCTGCTGCAGACACTCGTGCGAACACGCTCGACGAAGCCGAAGGATTGCCAGCGACGTACTTGGCGCTTCGGTTCATGTCTTGCTGGGACTGGGACGGCTGCAGGTCGCGTAATCTTGCAACTTGCCAGCCCCCGCATACAGTCAACTGGTGAGCACATCGCAGCCCGGGTTTCAGGGTTTTGGAATTCAGAGTTTGGTGAACGCCTTTGACATTTTGCTCGCTGCACGTTTTCAACACTGTCCATGGAGCACACGGCAGCAAAGGGGGCAGTGTCAGTCTGGAAACTGATCCCATACTATTGGTGCAAGTTCCAGGAGGCCTCTTGCTATGGTGATCCTCGGCTCGCGGCAGGTCACATAGAGTCAGATGGATGGTGACCGCGATGTCAAGGTGTTCGGAACAGCGAGAATTGACCATCATCGCGACATTGAGAAGGGCAGCAAGCAATGGCGAGACAAAACGCGGGCCGTTGCAGAACTCGTGCACTGTATATGGTAGCAGGGAAGGCATTATCCATGCGTCGACGATATGAGAAGGCATGGTCCATTATTCGAGGGAATGTACTAGCCACACGCGAGGTTGTTCTCTCCCTCGATACGCTTTGGTGGGGACAAGGTGTGAACATCGTACAATTACATGCTGAAAAACAACGTTTGGTGCGCGCAAGCAGCGCATGCCTGGCTCGAAAGGCCCGCCGCCAGCCACCATTAGGTGCATCCTGTGTTTTGGTGGGAAGCGGCGACGTCGGCGTCTGTTCGTGGCCCCTAAGGCCCATTCACGACCTCCCTTCCCTGGACCCTCTATGCGTGCTGCCGCCCTGACGAACGCAAACAGCGCTTCAGCAAGCACGACAGCGGCACTTGAGCAAGTCCTCAGGAAAAGCACCACAGCGCCAAAGCACCACGGTCGCATGGCATGTGTTTTCATGTTTGACTTCATGGCATGTGTTTTTAGTGCACCTAAGTTTGGACCAGGTGAAAGCGCAGAATAGCGATTCTTCCACCATCGAACAACCCTGCACAGCACCCCGTGTGGTGCTGGATGACGGAGGCCTGGCCCAAGGTTGCTAGACAATGTGCAGCTGGGTGGACGGGCCGTTCACCGGGGATCACGGAATCCGAATATACGGCACACAACTCGCCATTCCACTGTTCGCTGAAAAAGAAAATAAGAAATACGGAAAACTTGTTGAATGGAAAATGAATGACGCGAAGTCGGCAAATGCTCTCAAGCGGATAGCAGCCCCATGTGCACCGACAGCAAGCACCAGGCTCCCGTAGTTTCTTGGCCAAGGTGATATCGCCGTGGTTGTGTCGCACTTTGCCAATGAAGTGCGCCCTCTGTCTGGGTACCCTAGTGCTGCCAGTTCCTGAAAAGCCCCCAAAGTCAGTATGGGCACATGCAATATGCAGCTGCCTAGCGTTCCGTATGGAGCTGTGAGGGAAGACACTATGTCGACTTTGGTGCGATTCACGTCAATTTGACGCTAAAGAGGGGTGCCGGTGGGGGGTGTCCAGACCTATGACGTAAGAGATTATGTAATTACCACAAATCAACATACGGCTAACAACTCGTGACTCGTTGCTTAACCCTCCCAAGTGTTCACCAGACCAAATCCGTTGCATAAATGAGCACGCGTTGCAGTTCAGCGGCCCCACCTCTGATCTCCGCGGCCTCCTTTTCTGCGGCTCCTCTGCGCCCTCCTCCTTCACGCCGTCCTCCTTGGGCCTCTTCCTGTCCGCCTTGGAGGGCGTCCCTCGAGTCCTGGCCGAGTGAGATGGCGCCTCGCCTTCCCCCGTCGGGCTGGTGGCGCTTCGCGACTGCAGAGCAACGGGATCTGGTCAGCAGGCGCTGGTGGGCGGTTCCCGATTCGCACAGGTCCTGCCCGCGTTCAGTTGCGTGTGTTTGCCAAATGGCGCATATTGCTCATGCAACAAACACATGGGACCAGCACTTGGGAAAGCAAGCTACAAAGGGGAACAAAGGGGACAAACACGAAGAGACCAAAACATGGTGGATTTGTGGCTTAGTTTCAGGGTCGGTTTGGAAGCGACAGTGGGTAGTGGTTTGTGGCAAGCACAGAAAGAAGCAAAGCTGACGGGTAGAGAGACATGCACAACGCCATTGCGTAGCATCCTTTCTGATGCGGGTTCATCGACAGCAACGCGCACGACCATCACCGGTAGAAAACACCCTGTTTGCGATGCCAGCTGCGATGCCAATTTGACAAAAATTGATGCCATCACAGTGAGCGCGATGGCATAAAAGGGGCTGTGATGGCATCAATTTGTGTCAAATTGGCATCGCAACTGGCATCGCAAACAGGGTATTTTCTGCTGGTGCATGCTGCGCTTCATCGAGCGATCAATCTTTGTTTTGACTGACACAAAGCGAATGATAATTGATGCGCCCCGACCTCTGACAGCCTCCACAGCGCCGCCTAAAGCAACATTTTGTGCCTGCAGCTCTTAACTTGGGACATTAATGCCGTTAAGGTTTGAAAGCAAGATTTCAAAGCATGCCGGACAGTGGGCCTGAACGCTTGTTGGATGATCCCAGCACTCAATTTTCGCACATTCCTTTTAAATTCTGACTTTCCAGTTTTGTATTTCCATTGGGGATTGCTTCGGTTCTTGTAGTGGAGAAGGCAAGCAGAGACCAAGCGTTAACTCGCTGGCAATGACAGCATTTCCAGCAGGGTGTAGAGGACACCATGTTCGAGTAGACTGCGCTTAGTAATCTGCCTTCGACTGCTCAGTACTTGCACCTGCTCAACACTAACGCCCGTACCCAATTGCCGAAGGGGTATCTGCTGCCTCGGCCTTTTGACAATGCCTGTATCTACATAACATTTTGGATGTTCCTAAGTACGTAACAATGTTCTATACTAAATTTATGTATACATTCATGCACGATACAGATCCAGATATCTACATCCCGCCACCCTTGCTGGGCGCCCCCCCCACGGTTCAGAGGTGGGCTGCACAGAGACCATGGTCATTCTGCACATGGACCTGTGCCCAACATCGCCCCACAGGGGCAAGGCGGTGCTTTGCCACATTCTGGACAAACCAGCCCAAGGATCTACACCCCGCCCACAGCCGCCACGACATATGCTGACAGCAGCATGACGCGCCCTGCCACAACCTGATCAGCGCCATGGCCCCTTCAACCTGCAGCATCTTCAGCAGCTGGGCAAGGCGCATGCCAACCACAAACTCTGGCGTTTTGGGCATGCTCAATGCCAAACCGACTGCCGCGGCGATTCTCTTTCTCAGACATGAGCATTGTTTAGATTCCAACAATTTGGGGGCTTTACATCGCTATGCATGCTCTTGCTTGTTGGCACAAGGCCCGCCAATCTTGTGATAGGACGGTTTAGGCACCTGGATGCTGAAAATGTGATGGTACGTTTTGGATTCAGACTCGAGCACCGATAGGATGCCCCCGCACCTTGTGCCCTGTGCTAGCATCCCCCGATTTTCTGCTCACAGTCGTCAGTCTCTCCTTGGGGCAGCCCCCGTATTGAGCCAGCTCGACGATCCTGCCTGGCACGGCAAGGGCCACCTCCAGCTGGTGAAGGTAGCGGCCCGCCAGCGAGACAATGTCGCTGCGGCTGTCCTTGTTCTGGGCATCCTCTGCCGCGGTCTTCAAGAGCTTTGACACGCCCCGAAGCATGGGGAACACCTGCCAGCCAGAAAACACAGGCAGAGATAATGAGAGATGCGAGACACAAGAGGCGGACAGATGCACAAGAGGATTTTCCAACAACAGCTAGAGAATTGAAATCTGCTATTTGGTTGTCCCATGACATAATGCTAACATGGGGACGGATGCCCTTCGCATCAGCTGAGGTGCCAGGCTAGTGTGGTGCATATTGACTGAACATTGCAGATCATGGATGATAGTGCGGGGGTTGTTGAAAACACAGGGGGCCTTAGAAAACTTACATAGTAGAACATTCTCGTTCACCATCGCAAGAGGAGTGCAGTGCTGCCATCTTCTGTGATCTACAGTACTAGAGTATTGGCTCATTCGTCCGACAGGGTACTCACATAGGCAATGTGTGATGCTGTTCACATGCACAGGCACTTATCTTCCCCTTCACTGCCATGACAGCCCTAGTGAGTGTGCCCAAGCTACACAAGGAGTGTAAGTATTGTGACTGAAGGGATGGTCGTTTGTCCCAAGAGTGTACCGCAGCCAGCAATACCATCCTTGAA